TTACACCAAGGCAGCTGTTTCGATTGGGGCTGGGCTCCTGGGCCTGTTGAGAAGCGCAGTGCACGGCGGGGAAAAGGAACCGAGCGTAGCCCTTCCTAGACCAGGCTGCTGGCTCAGGCCAGGATTCTGCAGCCCCAGCCCGAAGTGAGAAGTGAGTGTGTGGGGCGTGAGAGGATTTGGTGTGGCGAGAAGACTGGATCCAGAGCCAAGGGAAGACCTTGGGCGTTCCTTGCCTTGCTGAACTTTAGCGTCATCTGCAAATCAAGGGGGTGGACAGCAGATCCGCCTCCCTTAATGCTTTGCCTGTCTAGGAATTTTATCGTGGCACCAATTAAAGCATCCACCGAATACAACGTCTCTAGGGGGCAGAAAACACCCCGAGCCTGCCAGCGCGGCTCCAGCTGCCACGGGCGAGGGGAGGGCGCCACCTGGCGGAGAGATGCGGGAGGACGCCAGACTCCTCTAGGCGGCAGCCCAGGGCCCAGGGCCCAGGGCCTCCCTTCTCTAACTCCGTGGGCAGCTCAGGCACGCAGAGGGGACCCAGCAAGTTCACAAAACCAGGAGTTCGGGATGCAGGCTGCCTGCCGAGGGAAAGTGGGGTTTTTGCAATCCGCAGTCTCCGAGTTCTCTTCCCTAAAGGGATCCGAGGGGCGGGTCTGTGTTTCCTTACCATGCAAAGCCTAGGACCCAGCAAGCTGCCCTTGGTAACCCAAAGGCCCTCCGCCCCTATGCAGCCAGGCTTCCTGGGTAGCCCAACCTGCTGGGGTCCCGAGTTCCTCCAACAGTGATTACTGCTCTTCCACCTCCAACACTGCCCGCTCCCTTTTCGAAGGAGGTGGCGCGGTGCACCGGGAGGCAGATGGCATGGGTTCAAATCCGAGCTCACCCTGAAATCCTGGAAAAGGCACCTGACTTCTCTGAGCCCCGCTTTCCATGAAAATTAGGGGTAACAGCTCACTGCAGGTTTGTGTATGGACGACGACCACGTACGTAGATATTCCGGCGGCTGTCACTCCCTAGCAGGTGCTTGACAAATAAGAGCCACGTCTCTTTAGGCCCGCCATCCCCACCACCTTTCCATGTCCGGCTTTGGCAGTATTCCTGGATAGAAGCATGAATAGTGGAGCCTCCGTGGAAGAGCAGTCTCGCCTTCTGGGGGTCGCTCGCTGACCTGGTGAGTCAGGGCCCCCTGAGCACGGCAGGCCCAGCAAGTGGGTACCCGGTCCTCGGAAGGGGCCTCCCCCATCAGATCACGAAGTCTCGTTAGCCTCTCGGCTGAATCAAGCTCTTTACACTCCTGCGTCTCCCTCGGAGATGGGGCCTGGCCTTGCCGGGGCCTGCGGTCTCCCCTCCACTCACCTCAGTGTTCCCCTCGCTGAGACTCAGCTCCTAGAGGACAGGTCCGCTCCGTGGGCACCGGCCGGAAAGCCCCGCAGACATGCGACCCCGGACCGCGGTTCATTGTTGGCTTGGTTTTAGGTAAGAGCAGGTTTGGTGACTGCAAAATCCAAGTTCCTTCCCCGAATCGGAGGCTTTCTAGGGGTCGCAAAGTCATGGTGGCCTCGCTCTCACCTCATCAACCAGTTTCTCCTTCTGGGGTCGGCCCGGAGCCGCGGCTTCCGGCTTCCCGGGCGCTCCCTCGGTTCCCAGAGTGTCTCTTCCTGTTCACTCTAAGTCACACACAGATACAGTACGGTTATGCATGGACTGGTAAGAAGCTTTAATAGCCTGTAGGTTGGCTACAATCACAGGTGATGTGTGTGCATCTGTAACAGATATACATGGATCTGTGCACGATATACACACGCACAATATTTATATACTATAAACACATACATATTACATGTAGCGTACATACATATAGAGCATCAATATATATCTCTGAACCAATGTGTTTGTCATTAAATATTACAACGATGACACATATAATACTTTTATTTTAATTAATTTTGTTTGCTTGTTTTGCTCACTTTTTTGAGACAGGGTTTCGCTATGTAGCCCAGGCTGGCCTTGAACTCACAGCAATCCTCCAGCCTCAGCTTCTCAAGTGTGCTGGGATTACAGGCGTGCACCACCACACCCAGCAATACTTTTAAACCAGTGCTCTGTTAGACAGACTGTTCTTGGTTCTTCACTGTTTCTTTGTTTTGTTTTTAATTCAGTGTTAGGGATTAAACCCAGAGGCGCTTTACGGTTGTGCTATGCTCTGGCCCTCTTTATTTATTTTTTAAATTTTGAGAGAGGGTCTTGATAGGCTCAGGCTTGCTCCTCCTGCCTCAGTGTCCCAAGTAGCTGGGATTACAGGCGTGTGCAGATTATGGGCAGTTCCTTAGCGTTCTAAGCAGCACTCCTGTGAAGTATTATGTTGCCCAATTAGTAGGCAACACGGCAAGGTGGGCTCTGGAACCTGAGTTGGATTCTCATGCACACCACTTTCTGGTGGCCTTGGACAAGTGAGCTATTTCAGCTCTTGAAACTCGGGGATAGATAATGACAATACTCACCTCCCAGGGCTGTGAAGGCACTGAAGTTTCTAACCTTGGACCAGTTCCTTAGTAAGTGCTTCATGAGAAAGGCAGTGCCAATTTGGGAGGCAAAGGATGAGGATTTGCTTTGCACCACCAGCAGCTTGACCAAAACCCAGAGAGATGAGAAGGTGAGGGCTTCTTACAATACCTACGGGTTGCCCAAATTTAGGATCATATTATTGTTGTTTCTACTTCTGCTATTATTTCCTACACAGTTCAGGAATTTGGAGCTCAAACAAGGCAGCCCATAGTAAGCACTGTGAGAGTGCTTTGGTATTTTAAGTCACGGTGAAAATGATTCAATCCCTCTACAAACAGCTAACACTCGGAGTGCACGGACGGGAAGCAGCCCACGTCCAAACCCAGCAACAGGGCCGGCCGCTGTTAGCTTGGCTGTGGCCTCCTCCTGCTCTGCCCAGTGCCCAGGGCAGGGTGGGGCAGACTGCAGCTGTTTCACAAATGTGTGTTGACCTCAGCTGGATAAGCTCGTTAACAGCAGCGTGCTCTGGTGCTGTCCCTCTTGCCAATGTCTGACAGTTTCATTAACCCCATTAAATCACGCAGGTGCCTTATGCCTCCTGCACTTGTTAATGTCCGTTCAGCTATGGTGAGTGAAAACCTGGCTGCAAGGTTGGATGTACCTTGTTAACCTCCATTAAAACCTATTAAATTCCCTAACTAGCGTCTTAGTGACTTCTCGGAATTCCTCATTAAAATTTAGTAAATCCCGCTGATCAGGACCAGGTCAAACCTCGGCTGCGCTGCTTCAAAGCGAGACATTCAGAGTCCTCGGACATGGGCTTGACCTGTGTCCCCGGGGCCAGATGAACCTTGGCTCCAATCCCAGAAGTGGTTCTGGCTCTCATATTTCTGGGGCAAGTCTCTCGACCTCTCTGCGTCTGTACTTCCACTTCTATAAATTGGAGTTAATAACAGCCCCCACTTTATATGATTGTCGTGAGATTAAGTGAATTAATGTACACAAAACTATTAGCACGTTGTCTGGCATGCACTGTGTACTTAGGCGCTCGCTCTTACTACTCCTGGATGTAGAGAGCCTTGTAGACCTGTTTAGTAAATGGTGATTTGATCCCAGGCATTTATAGCGTCCTCCTACACGCTGGGCATCGTTTTAGGAACCGTGGGTTGTTTTCTTTCTGCTTTTATCCACACTGAGGCTCATGCATTCGAGACGTTTGTCGTGTATTTGTGGCTCTGCCTGCCACTGTCTGAAGTTGAGTATCAGCACTTTCCAGACCTGGGGCTTCAGGGGTCGGACTCACTGGTTCTCAAACCTGAATGTCAAAATCAGTTGCCAGATTTTGTCACAATATATTTCCCTGGGCTTCACTCATCTTGAAGGTTTCCCTGGGAACTGAACAGCATTCAGACTTGCTGCTCTCAGGATTTGGACTGGGAAACCTCCAGGCTGGATTGTTTTTCCATTTTATTGTGCTTATGTCTTAGCTGGAAAAAGAAATTCCTACTTCTGAAACTCAGCTCCTGAGTTTTTCCTTGAAGATGAAGGAGGGGGCCCAGGAATTGGCATTGCAATACCCTCTCTCTCTGTGCTGTTTACAGAGGACTTCGAGGATGAGGGTGGTGGCCAGGGTAGGAATGGTACTTTTAAAATTTCTGTGAGGTTCAAAATCCTAGAGCTAGAATGCATTATTTAACATAAGGAAAAACCTTTTCTACATTTTCTCCCTTTCCATTCTGGGCTCGCTTTTGCTCCTGCCCAGCAGCACGGGGCGGATGAGGGGCCACATCCCCCTGGGCCTCAGGGACCTGCACCAGAGAAGCCGTCATGTGGTCTGGGTTTCTCACACCACCACGTGCATGTGACTTGCTGGGAGGCTTTGTCAAAACGGATTCAGTAGGTAGCCAGCCAGGGAGGGTGCAGGGCGTCTCCATTCCTAACCGACGCGCAGGTGACAGACGCACCAACAGCAAGGTTCAGCTAGAAACCCCAGAGCTTACACGTGCTTTTGAGACTTGAAACACCGGGATGTTTACACAAAGTTCTGAGTTTCCAGCTCCTCTTACCAAACTGCAGCACCTGGTCACGGGACTGGCATTCCCACAGGACAGCGACGGGCAGGAACTGAGGAGCAGCTGCTCTTAGAAGGGGCCTGAGTTGCCTGGTTTGCAGCTTGTCCCCTGCAGGCCTTTCAGTCTACAACAGTCCAGTGTACTGGGGACTCCCTTAGATGGTAATGGAAAATCCAGGCATCGGACTCTAAAGCCCAGGGTACCTGGGACACGACAGGAAGCTGGCTCAGGCTGTTGGATGCAGGTAAGTGAGGGGACAGGAGCACTAGGACGGGGCCCAGCCTCCTGAGATGTAAACTGGACAGTGTGGGTGCTGACTGCTGGAGCTGCTGTCATTACTGACCGCATACGTGGCAGGGCCCAGTGTGGAGGTGAGAGCATCTGAATTCATGTAGAAGTACAAAGGAACAACAGAGTGTGTCTTTTTACTCATTCAGTTCATTTATTAAGAGCAAAAGTTGGGCCATCCCATCTGTGATATTGCAAATGAAAGTCACATAATACTAAGGAGACTCCAACGAGTTGAGAGCCTTTCAACAGTACAGAGCCGTAGATTACAAAATTGGAATACAGAGGATCCCCCCAATTTGGCAGGAAACAAGTACAATATGAGGAGGCCTGGAATGGAAGGGCACTTACTTTTCAATAAGGCAGTTACAAAATGGACAAGAAAAACTCCCTAAACCCCGTACCCCAAAATACACTCTGATGAGCATAACAAACTAGAGATGTAAAAGAGCGATCGGGTACAGCCCTGCGTCATCGGCAAAGGTACTGATTCAGTGAAAGCCACCGAAGGGTCTGTGCTGAGATGTCAGCTCTGTGAAACAGCTGATGGTGGACGTTGCTGCCACAGGGATAGGTCCCGCATTACCAACGTTGGATTCCACCCCAAAGTATTGGACCAGCAGTGCCCTTCCCAACCACGACTTGGAAACAGTCTGCAATACCGGGAGAGGAGTAAGAAGGCAGCCCGGAGGCACCGTGCTCCCCAGGGCATGATCCTGAGCTCGCCGCCCCTCAGCTCCATTGCCCAGCTTGCCGATGGACCAGAAATCCCAACCTGAGAGGACCTGCCTGGGGGGCCGAGGTTGGGCCAGGAGATCACAGACCAAAAGCACCTCGGGGGCATCAGTCCCGACCCTCACCCACAGGCTAGATCTGGCCTTCCCCGCCACTCCGCTCACAGACTCCACTGGCCGCGTGATGCCACTCAGCCTTGGGGTCTGCAGGGCAGTTTGGTCTGACACCAAGCTGGCCCCGGGGCCTCTCCCTTTACGAGTTCTCAGGAATCTGAGGGCCGCTTCCCTTAGACTTCGTGAGTTAACCTGCACGCGACAGGAGAGCACCAGGCCACGGGCTGGGCCAGGCCCCAGGAGCAGGTGACCTCAGACAAACCCCTGGGAACCTCTTCCTCATTCTCTAAGGATGGACGGCCAGTCAGCCGTGAACGACTTCCCAGCTTGAAGGTCCAGCACTTCTGACACGGAGACGTGTAGTGGCCGGCTCGCAGCCTCACATTCTTGAGCTTCGTTTTCTCAGTAGAAACCAAGTGTGAAGTCCTTACAGGAAGCCAAGGCAAAGCTCCCAGCAACCGTGGAACCTTTAAACTCCATGCAAAGTAATGATATTATCTTTGAGTTTAGCTGCAGTTTTTCCTAAATGATGTTATGAGCATTAGGGTTTGTGAGGGAAGCACAGAACTAAGGGCTCGGCTGCTGTAAGTTGTTTTTTACCAGCCCCCGCCCCCAGTACTCCTCCAGCTTTGGCAAGAAGCAGCCAGGATAACCTGGCGGATGGTGTTCTCTCAAAATCCTCCAACGAAGAGCTCAGCAGGGTCGGCTCTCGGGGAGGAGGAGGGTCAGGGCACCAGAAAGTCTATGTCCTCGCTCCTCCCCTTTGGAGACAATAATGCAGTGGCACAGGACACTGCTGGGAATTAGGTCTCTCCACATGGCCCCCGCAGGGCAGACTAAGGTGGAAATTACAGAGAACACGGAAAAGCCAGAGGTTTACAAAGAGAGAACAGGCTTCCCCAGGAGGTAGTGAGTTCTCTACAGAGGTGTGTAAGCCCGGGCCGCTCCTGTGGTGGGACAGCTGTAGGAGAATGTCAGCACCTATGGGGACGCTGGACGGGAGGACTCAAAGGCCCCTTCCCAATCTTTGGATCTTGTCACTGCAATGACTGGGAGCCTCCAGGGGCTTTCCATGGAGCATCTTCCCAGTCTCACGCTGGGGCACCCACTTTGGTCAGAAAGTGCCCTGCCCTCCCGTCCTTCCACCAGGCAGCTGCCCTGCAGGACAGCAACAAGAAGTCCCTACAGAAGAACAGCCCAAATGCCAAGGTTAGCCACAGCACCCCACTGGCAAGTGTTTTCCAAGAGGCGAGCAGTGACTGCTTAGCTGTGACAGGAACACCTAACAACCTGGCAGCTGTAACACACACGTGAAATTTCTCTTCACTTTACAACACTGGTCTTGAATCCTTTGGTTTTTAATCTTTTGTGAGATTCAGCTATGATCATTTTCACGTGCCAGTGCCAACCTACGAGTTTGTTTCGTGAAATAAGCTTGTTTGCTTGTGTTTTTAAAATCTTGAAACAGAATGACATGAATGGATGGATACTGAGATTCCACGTGGCCTCCTGCAGGGCACGGGAATGAGCCATCCCAGGCTGGAACGGAGACAGGAACTGGACTATCTCAGGAGAAGCCAACGCCAGTTCTGGATTTCAAATTCCAGTTTTGCTCAGGAGCACCAGAAGGCAATGCTGCGGTGTCACATGTGGAAGGGAGCGTGAGAGTCCTTGTCAAAGGGGTTAAAAATGCAGATGGCGAGAAGAACCTTGCTTTTCCCAGACCTCGCTGCCCCCTGAAGCCAGGCCCTGTGGCTCTGGCGGCCTGGCCATGTCCCACGGGCAACAGACACCTCCTGCCATGGACAAAGCCATCAGAACTGCGGAACAGGCTAAGGCAGTGGTTCAGTGGTGTGATGGCGGTGGGACTTCTGGACATGAGAAAAACAGTTCCAACAGCTTTGTCTTTTTTCTCACCTGATCTATTTGAGAAAGCTGCAAAGATACCCATCATCTCCCCTTTCCAAAAACAGCCCTCTAGAGAAAAGACAGCAAGGGACTCAGTGTGCACAGCATCCGGCTGACAGCGAGCCGTCTCCCCAGGGTTGTTTGGAGCAGAAGCACCTTACAGACCCACCGGAGCGGGTGGATCCAAATGCCACTCTTCTCATACACAAATGTACCGCTCTCTCCTGACCAGGAAAACACACCGGCTGTTAAACAGTGACACAACCTACATGCCTGCAATTTTGCTGTGAATACCAGAAAGACACACTTTCTTCCTCCTTAAGACAGGGACACTGCTACAGAGTAGGTTAACGGTGCCCTAACAGGTAGGCCTCACCTGTCCCCAGCTCCAGTATCCCAGCTCTGAAGCAGGAGACAGCGTGAATTCACACTGAATCTGACCCACAGCGCTGGAGCACCCTTCATGCCTGTCACAACCAAGAGTATCTAAATCGGACCCCCGCCAGCCCAGGGATACCCCGCCGTGCACATTCACTGATACATATTCAGAAAGGCTGCAGTCTGCTAGACATGCATTTTGAACACTGATGAAAGCTCTGCTGCTGTGGAACATGCTGCATTTTAGCAACAGCGGTGGCCCTGTCCCCAGCCCACAAAAGATGGTGCTGTTTCACAGAACCGAGACCTTCAGACACTGCACCACCTGCCCAGTGTGGGTTTGGTTCTGATGCTCAGATGAAGCATCTGCGAGACACTAAAACTCCCTCCTAGGCCAAGCTGCCCATTGCTCCTTTTTATTATTTAAGGCTTGAGAAATAACTCAAAATTGAAACTGAGTAGGACAGTGACACCCTTGACCATAATATCCGTCAAGACAGAACTTAGAATCCAAATCCTTTTCTTCTTTTTCTGCGACCCTACTATCCCCACCCTCTGCCCCCAACACAAAAGCATACTTTTGGATATAAAGCTTTGTTTGCACACGGTACTTTGGCTCAGACAGAATTAGACAGAAGAATCTGACTTTCTGAACAACAGCAACAACAACAAAAATCAGGTAATTGTGAATATTGTAAAAATGACTTCAGTCACCTTTTTCCCTAAGAGGGAGGCAAATTTTTCACAAAGATGAGCGTCAGGTGGCACTGACCTTTGTTGCTCAAACCCATCATTTCCTGACCAGCAGAGCTCAGGGAGCCCAGGCCGGCCAGACTGTCTCCCACTGCTGGTTTCCAGGTGGGAATCACACGGCCCTCGGTAGTTTCCTGGTAGTTGTGAACTAAGGATGAATACTTCTGAGAACATCAGCCCAAGCACTAACTCTCTACTTGTCAAAGCTTGATTGCCCAGGAGCATGGCTTAAGTCTTCCCGAAGGACTTCACCCCGAAGAATAGCACAAAGGGGCGCACGAATGGCCTTCTGGGAGGGTTGCTCTGTCACTGTTTCCGGAGCCGCAGCAAACACCACCTCGTACATGTAACTGCCCTGCAATCCGCACTTGACCTGCAGTCTCCTTGCTGGGACATTGCGCCCAGCAGTTAAGCGGGGAGTGACAGACGCGGAGGTCTCAGGAGCGAGCAGTGAGGCAGATGTTGCAGGGTTGGCGTGGTCCTGACAGCTGCAGCAGCCAGAGAATGCTGAGTGCTCTCGGTGTGTGAGGCCTGGGGCACTGGAGGGCGACCAGGGTCAGACAGGTCTGCTAAGGTCAGAAAAGCCCACGGCAGGGTGGACCCTCTGCGTCCTGACCCAGGTCTGCACCTCACTGTCCCCCAGGGCTGTGTCCAAAGGGACCACTCAGTCCTCGCTTCCAACAGAGCTGAATGCTGCAGGACATAGCTTTAAGTTCTTTTTATGATCCTCTTTGCGGTCCAGTAGTTACCTTGCTGAATCATGAGAATATAATATCCTGACCAAAGAGATCTGCAGTATTCACATTCAGACTTTTTTATTTACAATACAACTGAACAGTCTTGAATGTAGCAGGGATCACCTGAGCCTCAGGCAGTGCGTTCCTCCTCCCGGCGCCCTCCCTCACTCAGGCTGCTTGCTGCCCTCCGACTTCTGGTCCAGCCTGCTCCTGTTGCTCTTCACCATGTAGATGAAGTAGGCCAGCGTCTCTTTTTCATTCACAGGTATGTTCCTGAAGTGTCGACTGACAGTCTGTGGGGGCAACAAAGTAAAAATAAAAACCCACAGTCCCTTAAACCACGCATAAATCAAGATTACAGACTAGGTCACGCGAAGTGGGGGGCAGAGTGCACCCTCAGTACAGGGCACCATGCAGGGCCCCTCGCACTCTCCTCCCTGCCACCTCCTGCAGCACGACCAGGATGCAGTTCCACAGCACCGGCAGCCAGGCATGCGTCCCTGCAGGATCCCACTCACCACCACACATGCAAATGCCAGGACTGCTCTACCTGGCCAGTTGCTACCAAACTTCTCCGGCCCTCAAAGTGGGGAGGAATGTGTCTTTTCAGTTGTGCCAAATGAACAGATAATGGAATAGGTGCAAGCAATCTCACTAGCAGATAACTGCTTCTGGAGAGATACAATGGACTTGAAGGAAAGAAACTTTATCATTTCCGACATAATCCTGGTCCTTTACTCCTTTCAGGGGTGTGGTACTGGGGATTGCACCCAAGGTCTTCACATTGAGCTGCAGCCCCAGGCCGTTTTACATTTAGTTTGAGACAGCATCTTGCTAAGCTGCTAAAGTGTCCAGACTGGGCTTGAACTCCAGGTCCTCCTGCCTCAGCCTCCCGAGGGCTGGGTCTGCAGGTGTGTGCCACCACGCTCAGCTCTCCTTTACTTTCTGAAATAAGACCTGAGCACGCAAACGCCTCCCAGCCCTCCAGCCCTCCAGCCCTCCACCAGGGTGAGTGCTTGTCTTCAGGTAGGAAAGGGTTGTGTGTTCCTGTTTCGCCTGGATACCAATGAAGGAAAGGTTTGAGAAGAAAGTGACAGCAGTGAGAAACCTCTCGGAGAACACCTCACACAAGGAGACACTAAATGGATGGAGCTGATGGGGACAGACACGAAGAACATGAAAAAGGGGTTATTTCTGAATGGTAGAGCTGTGTTTTTCTTATCCTTCCAAATTTTTTACACCAGGCAGAATAAAACTACATAAAATAAAATACAATGGGCACCAAGAAGGAAGAGACAGTGTATGCAGTGGTGCCTGTCTCCAGTCCCAGCTGCCCAGGAGGCTGAGGCAGGAGGACTGCCTGAGCCCGAGAATTCGAAGCTAGCCTGGCATCACAGCAAAAGCCCATCTCAAAAAAACCAAAACCAAAACTGGGTGTGGTGGCTCATGCATGTAATCTGAGCACTCAGGAGGCTGAGGCAGGAGGATCACTGCCGGTTCGAGGCCAGCCTGGGCTACATAGTGAGAACCTGTCTCAAAAAACCAAAACCAAAAATCAAAAAAACCAGAGCAATGAGAGAATACACACAAATGCCAACAAGAATGCTGCCCTCCAAACTGTGTTAAGATGTTAGGGCAGAAGAAAATTTTCTTTAGTGCCATTCATTATAATAAATACTTCAGTTGCCGACACCAGAGAAGGAATCAAGGAAGGAAAAAAAAATAAAGAAAATTAGCTCCTGTAGAACATTACCAAAGTTTTTGGGGATGATTAATCTGACATATTTGGTATGCAGAAAGAATGTATCTATTACAAATCATGCAAAAAAGACGCAAACAAACAAAGAACACTCAGGACTGAGAATCAGAATCAGTTCGGCTCCCTAACTGGGTCTGTGTGGTTTTAAGTAAGTCCTTTCCTCTCTCTCTGCCATGTGGTTTCCGGGCCTGAAGCCACGGAACTCTGCAGTCCACAGGAAGGGAAGGTCAGCCACGTCCAGAGCCATGGTGGAGATTAGGATGAGGACGCACAGCGGGGAGGAGGGCAGGGTCACCCTGGAGGCGAAGGGTGGTTCCCCTCCTTGTCCACCTACTTCTGCTAACTGGGCCTTATTGAAGCCGGGCCTGGTCTGCAGCTTGTAGTGCCGCTTGTAGCGCCGTAGAGTATTCACCTGCAGCTGGAACAGGTCGACCTAGGGCGAAGAGGAGAGGCAGAAGGGTTACTCTTTTCTGATGGGCCGGGACTCACCAAGAGCCTGCCACGAGCCCGGCGTTCCCTGGGTGGGCGAGGATGGTACGGCTGTGGAGGAGTCTGACGCTGTGCGCGGACTCTACCGACCGGCAAGGAGCACAGGGACAGCAGCGGGGAGTTCTGGCTGGCGGGCGGATCCCTGGAGGCTGCGGAGGAGGTGAGGCCTGAGCTCCGAGTGGCACGGAGGAGAGGAGAGGAAGGAACGAGGGAGCAGACCACAAGCAGAGATCCAGGAGGTGAACGAGGGCCAGCGGCAATCCAGGGACCAGAGGGTGACACCGGACGTACTGTGTCTTAAGAAGCAGAAGGTGGTACAGGTGGTACAGAAGGCAGAACTGGCAGAGGGAAGACTGGATGGGGACAAGGGGACACTGGGGCCCCAGCAGTGACCCACTACTGAAATGATGCCGTTGAGGTTTTCGGGGTGGTGATGCTGGATGCTGGGAAAGGTACAGGCCGGAGAGAGGTCCAGGAGGGTGACCTGCCGGAGCCAGGCAGCAGTGAGCACAGCAGTGGGCATGAAGGACAGCGCGGGGAAAGGCAATGTCCAAGCAGCTCTTCCCCAGCTCGGCCCTTGGTATCCGAAGCCTTAACCACCCTCCACTGGAGAGCTGCGTGGTGAATGTGCACATTGGCAGGCCCAGGCAGGGTCTCTGAAGATGACTGGGTCACAGGGAGGAGGGACCCACATTCCCTTTTCTAACTCAGGGAGCGAGGAAAGCTGCACAGTCACGAAACAGTGAGGGCCCAGAAAGTTGGGCTGTCTGTACCTGCCTCTAAAAGAGAGGCTCTTGCTTCAGGCAGGTGGAGAGCACTTAAAAACAAAATGAATGATCAATATGAGGGACCAGAGTCCTTTACTTGTTTCAAAACATCCCTCAAAACCCCCCTTTTTTGGTGAAAGGCATGTAGAAACCAAATACATCTTTACAAAATAATAATAATGCTACAGGCAACAGGCGGATACGGTAAACCATGTTGGAAAAGGGTACGGGGAGGGCAGAGGAAAGGGCTTGATTTCAAAGGTTTCCTCCACATCTGCAGACAAAGGCCCGCCTACTCTTTCTGTTCCTACGTAGTCGTTTTCGCTCTGAGTGCTAACAGGCGGTTGCCTTATGAAATATTCATGTATCAAATATTCAGTGTTCACTATAAATGGTTCTTCTTTTGCTGACTCTGAAGTGAAAACAATTTAGATGGAAAGAGAACCAGTATTCCACCCTGCAGCCTCATGTAACACACATGGGCCCCTAAGGAGAGGCAGCCTTTGGGTGAGAAGCTCAGGCCTTGGGGTCCAGTGCAGCCGTCCTGAACTAGGGACGACACACGGCAGTGTCAGTGTCAGGAGGCCTTTCCGATGTCACAGCTGGGGCGGGCGGGAGCCTGGATCCAGAGGGTGGAGCCAGGGACACCACTGAATGTCAGCAATGGAGTTATCCGGCCCCAAAGGACAACAGCGCTGGGCCGAGGAGCAGGTGCAGGGCTGATTCTGGAGTGGATCTTTGGCAGTCATGGAATCAGATCGTGGCAGAAAATCAGAGCTAGGAGCACTGATGACTTACATCAGAAACAGAAGGGAGGACTGCCCCGGAACATGCAAACTCTGTCGCTGAGTTTTAAGGCAAAAACAGGGTTTAAAAAAATCAACTTTGTGGTTGTCCTGACGTGTGTCAGTGGCTTTCTGAGTAAAGGTAGTGTGGTCTATTGGAAAGGACGTTGGACGGAGCCCCCAGCTGCACACGGGACCCTGAGTCTCGTGCCTGTCTAGAAGATGGTGGAGCAGCCAGACCAGGTGATTTCTTAACCTTCAGCCCCCACAGTCAATGTTACTATAATTCTGTGATTCACTTTTCAAATAAACCACCGCAAAACAAAGGGGACTAAAATTACTTTTCAGTACAAAAAGCAGACCAGGCCAGGAGGATCGATCATATTAGAATCCACTCCTCCCTTTCTGCCTGGAAGAATTTTTTGGCCTTTACCTCAGGAATGTCAGTGTCGTGCTCTGGAGAGTCTCCGCCATCATCGCTGGTCTTCCTCTTCCTTTTATTTCGGACACTCTGAATGAAATTTTTGTGGAAGTCACAGATGTACAGGTGCCTCACCTGATGGGAAGGAATTAAAGTCAGAGTTGCCAATTCCGTGGAAAGAGCAACAGGTATCTGTCAAATTACGGGGCTTTTTCTCCTACCAAGGCATTAAAGGAATATGAGGAAAAACAAGATGCGGACCAGTGTCCAAAAGCTTAGCACTGGAGAACAAAATAAGCAGCACACAAACTGCTGGGGATGTAGCTAGGTAGTAAAAGCTTGCCTAGCATCCAAGGCCCTGGCCTCAATCCCTAGCACTACCATCATCACCGCCACAGCAAGTCCCAGGCCTGGGAGGCGGGAGGAGGAGGACTGCAGGTCTGACACTAGCCCAGGCAACCTTGTGACTTAGGGAGACCCTGCAACAAAAAAAAAAAAGGAGAGAGAGAAAGGGTTGGGGATGTAGCTCAGTGTGAGGGCCCTGGGTTGAAACCCCACTACAGCCAAAGAAACCAAAACGACAGAGAAAAGAAATACACAAAGGGCCGGGGATTTAGCTCAGTGGCTCCGCAGGCTGCCTTGAAAGCGCAAGGTCCCAAGTTCGATCCCTGGTACCAAAAAATAAAAACAAAAAGAAATATACAAAGAAAACACAAACACCCGAGTGTACTCTAGAGCAAGTCTCCACAGAGTGTGAAGTCGGCAGATGAGAGGGACACGGCCACAGCAGACATGGTCAGGGAGAGGCCGGGACTCAGAGGAGCTCCACATGGCGATGGGGCACAGCCCAAGGCGGGACAGCCAAGAGCGAGTGCTCCCCAGGAGCACAAGAGGGGGACCGTGCGGAGGCAGGGTGCTCGGTGACGGTGATGGCTGGGGCAGGGGTGGAAGGAGAAATGCGGAGGTGGGGGAGTTCGAGGACAGGGTGGACTTCCTTCAGCAAGACGAGTCTCTCGGGCTTTGGAGGCAGGGCGTGGACTTGCAGTGAGCTGGGGAGGGACAGAGTAGGGGCCGCGCTCTTGATGTGCAGAGCACCCTATTTCCCGCAGATGACAGCTACTACTGCAGCGTGCTAACTCTAAAAAACGATTTCTGGGCACCAGAGTGCAGTTCCTGTGTTGCCTCTCATCTGATCCACCCAGTGGAGATTCGCACACAGCGGAACCACCTAAGAAAAGGCTGGTATTGTCGCCGATCTTATGCAGGCTGGAGGCATACTAGTAAGTGAGGTGCCAACAACAGCTCAGATGTGAAGAATATGTTTTTATTTGAGAATATAAGTACCCGGGCTGCCGCAGGAACCCTTCAAAACCCTTACAGGAACCAAATGCCTGTGTGAAGGACTTGGAGTTGTTGATACTGAAACAGATGTTGCACAAATGTTCTGAACTTGAGTTTATTCCTTAAATCTCTAGATAAAAGTAAGCTGACAGGAAATCAACATCAATTAATTCAGGCCTTTTTATGAAGAAAAGAAATGAACACTGTTTATTCAGATGAATTCTCGCTTTCATGTGGTTGGATTTCTGAGTCCTGGTAGCGTCAGGCCTGCTGTGACGGGGTCAGACGAGTCAATATGGGCAAGTGACAAACGTGGTGGGAAGAGGACAGTGGGTAAAACACTGTTTCCTAAAGCCTTGGCTGGAGATTTCAGGCCCCGACCCTCAAATAATGAAATGTGGGCTGGAAGAGAACTTACAATCCCTAGCGCAAGACCTCTGGCTCAAACTGCACTTTCTAGAGGGGTAAACTGAGGTCGCCCCGGGTGGAGAAACGATCTTGCCGAGGTCATCCGGGTCTTCTGATCCCAGGTACATGTCCCTTCCTAACCCAGGATTTTCCTTTAGACCATTCTCTCTCTCTCTCTTTTAATTAAAAAATTTTTATTAGTGCATGTTTGCAGAGCATGACGATTACATTCATGGTGGCAAGGTGGTGCAGGAACACAACACATCTAATTCTTTTTATGTCCCCTTCCACTCCTTTATACTATTCTCAACTTCTAATTTTCTCTGGAGGGGGGGGGAGGACAGGAATATGTCAACTGGAGAATATTTGCAAGGATGTTAAATCTTAAATCACAGACCACTGCCAATGTCTATGTCAAATGAATTAAACTACCTGAGTTGGGTTTTTGGTGCTGTTATCCTAAAAAGTTTTCTGCTTCACCTTTTTACAAGAGACACCACTGTTGTATCTCTGTGACCATTTTCCCTTATATACTGGCCCCCTGAAACTTCAGAGCTCAGTGTCCTTTGGGGGTTGGGGGGGGGAGCAGAGAGCAGTAGCTGGAGTACTTATGTTGTTGTTTTCCTGTTTCACTTTCAGCAACAGCTAAAAATTTCTGTATCACAGCAGTGACTTGGAATTGAATTCCTGCCCAAGCCTGTGAGAATAAAATAGAATTCCTTTCAGAAATAATGACTCCACCCTGCCACCTTGAAATAAACCGTGAGTGAGTCCACCTTGAAATCCCTCCTCTGCAGCAAGCACTACATCTGGTGAAAGCCAGCGCTAGGCTTGGGCTGTTGTTGTTCGTGTGTGTGTGTGAAACCATCAACAGAGCTCAACTCTGGCCTTCCAGCAGGATCACAGTGGCTACCTGGGGCCTCCGTTACATCAGCAAAAATCATTCAGATGTGAGGGTACTGGAAAATGTTATAAGGGGCTCAAGAAAAGGCTACCAATGACCTACACAGAAGGCAGACACTGCTTCCAGGTGAACCTGCATCGCTGACCCAGAATCAGGCATTTCTCTTCAACATGTGACTGTCTAGCTCCTGATGAATTCCGTTCATTCTCTGATTAACAGAGATTTGTAGCAAGAAAGCCATTAACTCATCCTCCATCTTTGAAAAATAGCAACTTTCAATGGAAAAGCTGCAAATCTATTTTAATGGTTAACTTTAGATAAACTTGAGAGTAGGAGGGCAGAGCCTGGAAGAACAGTTAAAATTCATTTATTTGGGCTGGGGATTTAGCTCAGTGGTTTTGCTGCCTCTGCGCAAGCGCAAGGACCCAAGTTCGATCCCCGGTACCAAAAAAAAAAAAAAAATTCATTTATTAGAGTCTTAATGAAGGCATATGCATGAAGCTTGGAAGTAAACTGGCACCACCACTTTCCTCTATCTGGGGCGTAGTCTCACTGTAGAGTCAGAAGTGGAAAAGTGAGATTCCTTTAAGAAGCAATTTCTCATTTCCCCCCAAATGTGGAGACATTTTGGACCTAAAAGAAAATGAATGTTAACCATATAGGCGCCCAACCTACCTGAATATTAAATATCCCTCCTTAATTCGTTTCCAATTCCTAATCGTGAAGCAACCACATAAGGCTTGCAGCAACAAACGTCAAACTCAAAAGTTCTTAATTGGCTGACAATAGGCACGTCTTTAGAATTGCTAAGTAAAAGGGGTGAAGTCCCCCAGGAGAAGTCTCCTATAATTAGGCGCCAAGCACAGGGCAATCCCATACAAATTTAAATCTCCACCTCCGCATTCAAAGATGCCACCCTTAAAAAAACTGGTTTTCTTCCCCTTCCAGCCACATGGGCTACAAGAGCCATCTCCCAAGATCTGGTCTTGGCCTTATTTCTGCCACATCCTAGAAAAACTCATTTTCACAGCTGCCTGTGAAGCCAGCTCGGTGACGCTCTGCAGAAACTGAGCCTGCGGAGACAGGGAAGTGCGTGTCACCTCCGACTGAAGGAGTAGCAGGGTTCCTAGAAGGAGGCCAAGTGGGGCGAGAGTCGAGTCCCTTCACCACCCCCTGCCCGATCCTTGCTCCTCCGTGGGCCAACAGAATCACCCCACCTCTCGCTGCTCTCATACCCAAACCAAAACCCAGCTGGAAACTGCTGTCAAATCTGCTGGCAAGAAAGCGTCCACCGCGGCCCTCACCTCCACCCCGCCCCCCGGACCTGGGCGAATCGCCCGGCAGCGCCGCGCTCCAGCGGCCTTTAGATCCCGACTCCAACTCTCGGCGCCGGTAGCCGAGGGGCGGCGAGGCCCAGGGCGGGGAGTCCGGAGCCTGCCCGGGGACCCGGGGACGCGGGGACGCGGGCCGGCCGGGCGGACTCACGCTCTTGTCGATGTCCAGCTTGAGTTTCTTCTGCGAGATGCTCTTCTGGACCCGCTTGCTGAAGGAGGCGTTGCCCGCGGGCCGGACGCAGCGCTCGCCGTCCTCGATGAGGCAGCAGCTCTGGCCGTAGCCCGGGGCGGCGGCGGGGGCGGCGGGGGGCCCTTCGCGGCTGTCCTCCTCGGTGCTGAAGCCGTTCATCTCCCCGCGCCGGGCCGGGCCCCCTGCACACCGCGGAGCGGCCGCGCTAACCGCCGGGCAGGTCGCCGGGTGCCCGCG